TTTTTGAGTGTTTAAGACAAATGTGTATCTTTCATGGCATAAATCTACCATTTGGTAAAACAATTGATAAAATAAAGTAATGTTAATACCATTTAACACAATTCAAATCATATTACAATCGACTCCGCTTATAACAGACTCAATGGGACATTTAGATATCGTTCGTTATATCCGAAGTTCCCTAAAAGCGAAGTAGCAACAACTTGCTGACTTGTTTGGGTGGGTAAATTTGCCGTGAAAAAGGCATACCTGTCACTGGTTACCGGTATAATTGGTATTTTACGGCAGCGGTAATTTAATGCGGGTCATTTTATTGAACAATATATTATGTACATGGTACATGTATTTAGACATGTAGTACTTGTCTATAAAGTGCTTACCATTTGTATTCTTTTACTATTTGTTTGTTATTGTTTGGTTAATATTGCAAACAAAAAATCTGTTATTTTGGTAATTATCGGGTATTTACAGCAATTTATCAACTGTGGGTACGAAATACAACAAGTAACAAATTATGTTATGAGAACATTTTAACAAAATCGTTATTCTTACCCGTGCTATCACTCGATTGAATAATTATCGGATAGCCGTATTCATGTACTGATCTTAATCGAGAGCATCCCGATATTTCAATAATAACAGTTTGTTTTAACGGAAGAAATTTACATGTTTTTCGCCGTTTGAAACTTGACAAAATAGTTCGCTATAGCCGACAATTCGTTATAAGCGAGTACGTATTAAGCGATGTGATTTAATGTAAAATAAAGAAGGAATAGGCCGGGGTTATCAGATTTAGTTCGCTATTAACGATAATTCGTTATAAGCGAGTCCGTTATAAGTGGAGTCGACTGTATATTACACTCATGAACATCAGCTTTAACATGATTGTTTACATAAATTTGTCAGTTCAGCCTTTTTTAAGATGCAAAACCATTAATACATTTATCGTTATCCGATTCAAAATGATATCTTATGTATCAGAAAGTTTGACTAGATTAAAACACAAGAATTAGAAAAAAAACTCGAAAAGTAAAATTTGTTGAAGTAAACAAGGCAAATACACTGACTAGACAATGCAAGGAATCTGATATATTTAAACGAAATTATCTCTTCAGAAATTAAGTGATAAAATATATAGGAAAGCGATGGGAGTAATCTATGAAATATGTGTATTAGCAGATGTTCGTTAATTTTAATATGAAAACGTAGTTTCAAATACAGACACAAGCAACATTTATTATATTAATACATAGATTTAATGCTGTCTTAACATTTATTTTCGGAAGATTCTAACTTATATGAACACTTTGATAATATATTTTTGAAATTAATGTAAAATTTAAAAATAACATTGCCTTTCATTTCTGTCTGTTATTTCAGGTGGTCATAGTTTTATTTCTGTAGATGAACTGTACGATTAACCATACTGAAGCTGCATAGATATTTATCAATTTCAGGTTTAACGTATTCAATGACGTTTTACGTAGTATTAACACAATAGAGTTAAAATAGCCAATTTCCAAATTCATCGGAGGTAGACCTCAGGTGCTCCTCAGTGAATTATTTAAGGCACACCTGAGTAAGACCAACGAAACACTTACGCAATGCTTTAGATAAAACCTTATTTCGAAACACATGAGTGCATGTATCGAAGACATCCCGGTATTGAATTGTACCTAATCCGTTGTAGTCTAGGAAAAAAAGTCTGATCATTTTGAAATGCCCTCATTTAAGGTATGCACAGCTTGTTTGTTCATATTTATGCGTATTTAAATACATCTGTGTAGTTTTGTGTGTTATACGATGACACTGAAAGTTGTTTTCTTTGTTTCATTCAGGACTTTATTTCTGGGCGAATGGGCGGAAGGATATCAAATGTACTAATCGCCAGCAGACAGTAACGAATAAAGTGTACGTACATCTTATGAATTAAGATTTCTGAAAAAAAAAAAAGATATGGCTACTGTATAATATTTCGGACATCGTTTGTTTGGAAAGTGTTGATATTTAAAGTTGAAAACAGTATATAATTTATGAAAGATAGATAGTGGAAAATCAAGAATTAAGTATCAATTGTGAGTGATTTACTATAGAACTTAGAGTACGGCATTTTACTAAGCCGACTTTATACTGAATCTTACACTGGTTTCCCGTATAGACCGATATATCAAGCAGATCTAGATTTTTGCACTGAGTCTCAAGATCCCTAGCACACATTTTTGTAATAGTACAAATCTGTTTTTCGTGTAAAACATCCCCTAGGCGGGGAACATTTTTTTCAAAGTCTTATAATTCTTTCATTGCTGTGAACTGTCGTTTACCTTTTTATCTTGATGTACCTATGGCATAATAAAAGGTTATCATGATTATTATGATGGTGTTTCAAAATGATAATGGGTATGTATATGTTTTTGTATGATTAATGTATTTAATTAGACGATGCTTTACTATATAGTAAACAGCAGGTGTTCGGTTGTAGAACCAGGGAAAAGTATTTTACCCCCGTTGGTAAATTACTTTGTGTTATACCTCTTTCGAGTTGTAATGGAATATAAATATTATCAGGGCAATGAACCTATGAATGAGTGTGTTCCAATTCTTAAAATATGTAAACAGTATCAACAAAGAAGGGTGTAATTCATTGAACGCAACCGTCAATGCGACCCAGAAACATAGGATCATCGTAAAGGAGCCCAGCGGGATACCAGACAAAACATTCAATTTGTCAAATGTACTTTATTTGTATACAGTTACAGACGTATTCGAGTACTGATGACACTACATTTGATCAAAATATACGTATCATACTGATAAATGATCAAGACATTGCAAATGTAATGTTTAAACAGCTATATTCTTAACCTGCGACATGATGAACAGCGAGTGAGCTACATATAATTACAAGACATAATAGGTCTGCTTTGTGTAATAGGTTTTCCAACAACCTGTTTAGATATTTCAGGCGCATCAATTATCTTATTTACATATATAGGGACAAAAGCGCTGAACTTCAAACAAGAGCTAATTTAGAAGCATTTAATATTTCTTTTGTATCGGTAGATAAATAACACAAATGTTTGAAACATCAATTTAGATTACCATTTAACACACGTGTTCTATATGTTTGGAATTGACCGAACATTCCCTAGAAATGCTTCATTTTTGTTTCCAATTTTAAAGATATTCTGGTATAGTTTTGTTTAAAAGATACTAATTGGACAATTACCTGAACCATGATTGCCTTTATTCATAAAAAGTACAGTTATAGTGATTTATTCTAATCTTGAATGGAAGTAAAATACTAATATCTTTAGATTTTTATACGTTGATGAAAAGAAATTTACTTCGTCGCTAGACTTTCAGGCGATAAGTATCTATCATGTTTTAAAACAATGAAACACTATAAATCTACGTTGCCTTTTACACTGAAGCAAATCATAAACAAATAGTTTCTGAGGCATAATATCTCTTTAAGAGATGCTTTTTGTTAAATGAAATACCAACACAATACCTCGCAAAAGTATTGATCGTATATTAAGAAGTGAATCTGATCCTTCCATATGGGGATTTGCAAAGCTTGGTGTTTACTTTTCCATTAAGAATGAATGTAACTTTATTTCTGGAATTCATGCATGTTTATTGACAATGCAGTATGAATGATTTTGTAGGCGACATGCTTCTATCCTAAGATGTTTACAAAAAGAAATAAAACATATCAAATACTTCACAAAACTAGAATGACAAAGCCGAGATGCTATAGTTTACAACTGACTGCTGACATCTTCAATAAGTTTAAAATAGATATAGGCAGAATTGATAAAATATCTTTGAGGAAAATATAACATTTAATATAAACCTAAGAAATTAGGGGATATTTATTTAAACATATTTAATTTACATGAATGCAATGATTTTTATTAACGATTTTTTTGGATTGACCAGCAATGGTGTCATAAAGAAACATGACCACAGTAGACCTCAAACCTACGAGCTTTGAGTTGTCAAGGAGACTTATTAGCCACTGCATCACCGTTTTCTTCATGATGAAAATAAAACATTATTTGTCATCGTCTAGAAACGATTAAGTGCATTTAATAGATATAGGAATGATATATATGTGGAATACGATACTACTAAGCGCATCACATTTTACGAGAAATATCAAGTTGTACATTTTATGTAGATATAGCTTTTGTGAAATATGTTATATGATAAGATTATTATCTTAACGCAACAGAGTCAGTCGAATACAATTTAATTTCTGTTGTTTTTATGTTTATTTATTAAAACATTGTTAAAGCTTTCATTGAATTATATACCAGCTTTTATAATATTTCATAAATGAGTATTGTTGAGCAATAGGAGAATGTATAGCTCAAATAGTTCCAAATTAAAATCCAGATTTCTTTTCATTTTTCATCCTTTTTAATATTACAATCAATTTGATATATTTAAACGTTTTTACAAAACAACAGCGGATGTCTCTGAAATTGAAAACTCACCAAGTTACTGTTTAAGTGACAAATTTAGCTATATCCAGTTCTTGAGGGATGATTGACGGTAACATGCAATAAACACTACCGTCCATGAACGGACTTGATCAAACCGAGCCTGCATTTTTATCAGTTATATTGTTTTGAGCTTACTTAAAATATTCCGCGTTACACTATTGTGCAAAGGTCGCCTTTTTCACGCCACTTAATAGGTAAACTGAAATTACATTTAAAAGACAAACAAACCCAATCTCCCTAAATATGCCTATATCGTTAAATAAGCCGACTATTATTATACTGTCCAACCTCAATTATTCGAAGTGCCGGAGACTGAAAATTTACTTCGAAAAATCGATGGGTTGGAATAATCCAAATCCGAACATAGTGATAGATGAAAACTACTCCACTTGACCATATCGACAATTCTAGCGAAACTTTTCAACACGTCTTATACCGGTAATCAATCGTGAAAAACAAATAAACAACGATCAATGTTAAAAAAATAAATTTATTAACTACTTGCAGTTTATTACCAGGTTCTGTAGCACAGGTTAATATAAACATATAAACATGCACATTAATAACATTGCTGTCATCTTCCAGCATGTCGGACAAAGCGAAGGATTTTAATGATAGACATACATGCATGCATTACAAATGTATTCAAAATTATACAAACAATATCAATATAAACCGTCCAATTAATAAAATAGTTTATTTTCATTTGTTTATTTTTCATTCATCAATTAAAAAATCATTATTTTGAACACTTTGAACCGTGCACTTAATAGCATACAATTAATGTTCGGTACACGCAAATCGTAATTATCATGGCTGTTAGAAGTTTTTCTGCCAAGTTTTTCACAATGTGGGACGGTCAGCGAGTCAATCAGCGCCAGTTAGTCTGGCTTCAAATAATAGGTGTGCAATTCTTACATAATGATATAATCGGGACCGAAATTTTACTTTGAAAAATAGGAGGTATTCAGATAATGCATTTCGAATAATACGTTCATATTTATATCAATCTATACAGAGACGAAGACGAAACCGTAGATCTACTTTGGATAATGCCGGGTATTCGAATAATGGGTTGTCGAATAACCGGAGTCGGACTGTAGTTAATAAGCAGTTCTAGTAAAACAACTACAACACTGTCATGTGACAATTTTTATTGTCATTGTGAAGTGCAGCAAGACGATAAATCAAAATAGAAATCCTTGAAAAGCTTCCCGTTTAAGAAGCACATCAATATCAGTACAGCATGTACAATACGTTCTGCTTTTCGTTACAATACAGGCATTTACACAAACAAAATCTTTATAGTGGCATTAAAAGTCAATAAGTCAAATTGTTGTTCGAAAAAAATGCTGAAAAACCGTTACTTTTTTTTCTTATTTATTTCTTTTTAATTTGTTGTAAAAATATGCAAACTGTTTTAAATTCAATAGCAACTTACAAGCAAAATAAAAAATATTGTATGATCAGAAGTAGTTGATGCGTACATTGTAATTCCACGTTCGTTCAACAAAATCGAGACAAACCAGACTTAATCAATAACTACCTATTGTTCTCTTACTTACATGTAGTTTCCTTGTTTGTTTAATTGGGTTGTCACAGCGATAGATAATAGGTCACATGGTGACGTTCCAGATTTACTGGTTGAGGAAGACGTCAGGTGCATTTCCGTGCATAATTTCAGGCACGATCGGGCACCTTAGTAGAACCACAGACGTTCAGGCTTACATGTAGAGGTATGAAAAAATATTACTATAAAGATAGAGATAACGGTCTGTAATTCACATTGTTTCTTGGATTTTTAAACTTTCAAGTCTCCTTCTTGAACACATATTTGATACTTTAACTTGTAAAACTTGAAGGTAATCATTCAAAATTAGTCATCTAAACCATGAAAAGCCAAATAAGGTTACAAGCCCCTATCGTCGGCTAAAGCAAATTAAAAAAAAATGAAGTGGTAAATTTTTGGAAAAGAATAGAAACCATTCTTAAACGAAAAACTGTTATCGCTATATATGTTTTAAATATTCTTAGACTACATATTAAAGTGACATAATGCCCATCCAAGGGTATATAGTGAGTAAATGTGTGAAAATCAAAATATGTTTTCATTTTGCCATAATCCCTTTCAATTAAATAATTAAGTTCGCATAAACAATAAATAACACACAGACCCGAATGCAAATTCTGTAAATGTTCGTTAGAATTTACGTATAACGCTTAGTTTATAAAAAGAGTGGGGCAGTCTTTTTAAATTTTAGGCAGATTTATAATTGTATCCTAAACATTTTCCTATAACAACTGTTGGTCAAACACCGTATTGACAGTCAATCTTTTGAGATATAAAGTTAATTTAGCTCAACTTGACTATGAAAATATGAGCATAATGTCACTTTAATGTCTACAGAAAAACCAGTAGGATTATTGTTACAGAAATGTCATTTTTAAAAAAGTTATATCTTTGAACAATAGTTTGAAATAATAAAATGTAATTACATGTACAACAATATTGATTGAGTTGTAATGATTTGCAGACATATTATATGGAATCTGAAGATCATACCTGTGACGTTATCATCTAACATAAGAAAAACTGTGATGAAAAAAACGAAACAAAAAAGATAACCAGGAAACACGTAAGTTTCAACTTAAATTGTAACCGAAAAACGTCTTGTTTTTGCACCTAATGATGTTCTGATACAAATCATTATTTAGTTTAGATCCAATTGATTTAGCTTTGTTTTCATTTTTCTTCATATCAAATCCATATAAAACTTCGTCTAGCCTCGTTTGTATTTCCTGAGTCCAAAATTTCATTTATTATGAATAATTCCTATACTGTTTTCAGAGTAACAACGTGACACTATACATTATTGAATACAATACTGATGTTACTGTACTTGTTCACAACTGCAAAATAAAATACATTCGACTCAATGTACCAATGTTCGTTACAAATTATAGTTTTGACAATTAAGTTCTCTTCCAATATAAGGCAGCATTGTATTCAATATCATTACTTTTATCATCTAGTATCTTTTGACTTAGCTCTTATGTTATACAACTACCATGTTTTGGTAGAATAAATGCACAATACATAACAATGCAATGTTGCAATGTTCCTTGCAAATTATAGTTTTGACATTTATGTACTCGCCCAATATAATGCAGCATTGAATACAATTTAATTTCTTTTATCATGTAGTGTCTTTTGACCTAGCTCTAATGTTATACAACTACAATGGAATTAATACGAATGAGAATATGACAAGATATGATAACATGTTTTGGTAGACTAAATGGTACACCAATATATAACAATGCAATGTTGCAATGTTCATTCCAAATTATAGTTTTGACGTTTATGTACTCGTCCAATATAATGCAGCATTGAATTTAATTTCATAAATATAGGAATACATCACTTATAAAGCGTGAATCCAGAAAATGATTTGTAAACTAAAAATCACACCCATTTTCAGTAATTGATGAAAAACTAATAAACAAACATATTGTAAAACGTCATGATAATAATTGCAATCAAAAAGTGTTTTTTTTTTCATAAAGACATGTCATTATCTATTAGCATTTTATTTGTATGGACACTGAAGTGCAATTATAAATGATAAAGAAAACTTTTACTTTTTAAATATAAAGTTTTATGAAAAAAGCATAAATGACATCAAACGCAAATTCGGTACGCCACAGCCTGAACTCGAAACATGACTTTCTTATATATATTCATAGACGTATATAAGATGTGATTGATTACTTAACGAATGAAAAGTTTTGCATTGCGGTTTTTGTTGCATACCGCGAAACAGTTAATCAGTGTTGGTTATCATCTGACTGTCTAGAATCTCAATCTGCCGCCAAAAGCATATAATGACATAATGATGCCTAATGACGTATTAAGATGGCGCGAGTATTTTTTGGTATTTATAAATTATTCCAGTCGGTAGGAAATGTAACAAACATTTTGCGAAGCTTTGAAAAAGTTAGTTTGCCAAAGTTTGAAATTTAAGGTAGTAATATAATGTTAATAACTTTTCAGTACAAAAAATATATATTATTATAACATATTTGTTGTTATTTTGTCCTTTGTCTAGTAAAGTTATTCATTGGCATCGGTGGTTTGTTAACATTCAATGAAGCAGTAAATAAAATGATTAGAAATTCTTACTAAAAAAGCTTGTTTTACATCGACCAAACATGAATTTCAGCGTCACATGCATATGTTATTAAATAAAAAGTAACTTAATATCAAAGAAAACTGGACATAAAACTGCAAACTGTCATTTTGCCTTAGCCAGATAATTATAATATCGATGCATTTATCACACTAATTATTCATGTCGATCTATAGGTGCGAGTTTGTTTTTCTTCCGGAATGGAATGTGTATTGTGAGTCCAAATATATGCGCATCATTATGATCAATGTACACATGGCCATGTGTGATCCTTTGCTGTGGTGTAATTGCAGGCAATGGAGCACTAAAATGACAAAAAAAAGTTTTATCATGTTAAAGAATGACGCAGTATATAATATAGAGGATATTTGTTTAGTTCAGTGTAAGATCGGAATATATTTCACCGAGTGAGCACCAAATGGTATATTTCACGAGTGGCGCAAAAATAAGCACCATATTTCGATCTTACACTAAACTAAACAAATTTTCTTTTTATTATATGCAAAGAAACGTTTTAAAAAGACATTAAACCTAATACTGAATGAAAAGCGCACCAAATAATAATACAACGTGACGTCATTTACGACGTCACGTCATTAAGTTGGTACCCAGTACTGTGCACGCTGGTATTTCACTGAAACAACGTAAGGGGCTTAAATTCAAAACAGTGAAATTATCAAAGCCGTTATTTCACTGTTTCAAACAGTGAAATTACCAGTTTTATATCACTGATATATTTCTATAAACCACCGAAAAGCATGTAATAAATGAGGTTAATACACGACAAAACACTATCATAACTTAAAGCGCATTTCGATTGATGATAATATTACCCATTTAAATAATACACAAATGTCCTAAAACCTGTTTTTTTATTCTTATAACTTCATTTTTAGACAGCTCTTTTTAGCAATTATCAGTATTGCTACAACTTTTTTCAAGTCTGTATTTGAAAGGTGCGTGACCTTGTCGACACTATACATTTCTTGTGTCACTTAGAAAAAGAGATATATTGTTTACATATGGGATGTAAGGAATTCATTTTCTGATAGTCATCAAATATATTTCTTTTTCATTTATAACTATATATGTGTATTTATGTTTATGAAAATAAAGTATACAAAGAAAAAATAAGCACCAGACTTCCTGATGTAAGAAGTTTGTTATATAGAAACTAAACTAACAAGTAAACATGGAAAACAAAAACCTTTGCTTAGAATGGTGTGAATTACAAAACAATTGATAGATATTTATTTGATTTAAAAAAAAATAAATAAAAACGTATACAAAGTATATGTAGTTACGGTAATGTTTGACAATATGAATAGTACAAAAATGCAATTAATTAAATATACTTCTGCTCAAATGTAATGGTTGTGTTTCTATTTCTGGAATAAAACACTTAACTTGAAGAGTGATACTGAATAACAAAATAACGACTTAATAATATTTTACTATACATTATATAATTATGTATTAAATTATATAATTATAATAAACACCACTTATTTTTCAAAATTGACGTCTTCATGGACATTCCTTCTTTGTAGGTTAAGGCTTCATGAACATTATAGAATACTTGGTCGAAATATCCAGTCACTTTAAGGTGTCTAGATAACTTAGGGGTCTTAGTGTCACGGGCGGGGTCTTTAATGAATAGCTCTGACAAATAAACTTTATTCTGCATTTTTTTTCAACTAACTCAATTCTCCTATATGACATGCTTTTCTCAACCCGCTATGTTATCTCTGTATGGTTGTATTAGCATATCAAAAATAATCCAGATGACATTTAAGTAACACAGACAAATCATTTCGAAAGAGTATAGTTTAATCAAATACCTGTATGTGTAATATGTGTTTGTCAAAATGTTCTCAATTATTATATATACTTTATGTTATGTTAATGTAATCACTTTTGAATAACTGTTCATTATCAAGTGGTGGTAACTTTAAATTCTTCCCAGTGTCACCAGCAGTCTGATTACCAGACACATTCCCAATTGCAAATATACTTAGTTTTTCAAATCTTAAACTTAATTCCATATCCACTGACATTCTTTAAAACAAAACTGATATATTTGCCTGAGGTCATTCCAGTATGGTATCAGAGAACATTTTCCACACATTTCAAGGCTAAATTTTATTGTTAATGCATTTTTGTACTTTAAATGATACTTGCATATGTTTGTAGAAAAACAACATGTTTTACAATTCAAACTACTATGCAAAAAGAGCATGAAGGAGGATGCAAAAGAACATGAAGGAGATTTCAAAAGATACTAAGTATTTTCCCACTCAAGCAATTTTACGTCGCAAAATTCACAAAATGGCTAGGAAAAGGCATATGACCTTAGGCATATTATAATCCTTGGTCGTGAGTTTTCGGCACCGGGCTGCAATCTCAGAATAGGTCATGTGACACTCATTATCAGTTAAATCATATTCGATTTCGTATTATATATATTAACAAGTGTACTTAATATGTTGTTTTTCAAATATTTAGTTCTTTCTTATTATTCTTCAGAAAATAATTCTTTAGTTTAAAACTAAATAATTAGTGTTAATTACCCGGATCTTAAATATGACTCCTTTTCTGTCCCTCGCGGCGGTGGTACAATTGCGGGATATTGCTCTCCTTCGTAGGCAAGGTCTTCCCGGTCAGAATCTAAACAAATTATTCAACTTACACAACGTATTGATATAATCCAACAAAAATAAACTACGTAGATTATATTTAATGAGTGTAGGTTTATTTTTCAATGAGTTCAATAAACACATGAGTTAAATAATAAAAAAAAACCCAAATTAAAGGCTATTAAAATGAAAAACACGTTTTCTTAGACGCGCCTAAAATACAGACTGAGTGTATACTAAAAGTATTATTCAGATCATACTGAATTTTTGAAAATTACATTTAATTTAATAGTTCAAAACTAGGATCACATGAGTCGCCTCACGTAACCCAATTACATGTTGCAGCTTCTGTGTAGCAAGAGGCAGGAAAATAATTAACAGGGCAAGACGCGTACAGATTAAGGGCCATAACTCAATTAAAAAAAAAATAAGAGAAACATTATTATCGGGAGGGGATATTGTTTTGGCGTTGTCCGCCCGTACGTCGCTCCTTCCGACCGTCCGTCAGAATTTCGTTTCCGCACTAGTTCTCTGCAACTACTGGCTGGAATTTAACGAAACGTTATAGGAATCATCAATATCAAAAGGAAATGCGCATATATTCGGCTTGTTTCAGTCAGACACTTTACTCAGAGTTACGACCTTTGAACAGTTATGCAGTATGCATATAGAACAATATTCGTTTGACGATGGACGCCGAAGCATTCCTCTTTGATACAAATAACTCACCCTGAACTTTCAGTTATGGTGAGCTGAAACCATTAGTGAGAGTAAAAAATAATGTAGTTTACGGAAATTCTAAGTTCCAGGTGAGATAATTCTGAAACTATTGTTCTAGAGGTTTTAACTTTGTTACATAAGATGTTGTTAATGATAAAGAACATGTATTTTTAGTTTGAAGTTGTTAAAAAATAAAAAAAGTTATCATAACACTATTTTACAGCTACAAAACTTTTATCATAAACGGACGCCATAAAGTACGCGTGGTGAAGTAAGAGAGTTCTACATATACTTCGTATAATCGAGCTAATAAAGTATATTACTTGTATCTTGATCACGGTTACTGTTTGTACAGCATTTGACAACAATCAACACTATTAGGGCTATTACTACAGCTACAGATAGTACAATAACAGCTATTTTCCATGCTGCAAAATCTTGTCCACCCTGTTTACTTTCATCTGTGTCTGTATCAAGATCCTCTTTACTATCACCGTTACCATAGTTACCATCAGCTTAAACAAGAAAATTAATTACCCAGATTCTCAATAAACATATAATAACATGAATCTTAAGTACTGTTTAATCTTAAGTAGATCTTCCTATTCAATCAGGCAATTTTACTGTCAACAAAAGCCACACAATTTAAATATTGATCAAAATGTAACACTGCAAGAAGCGGTTCCGTGTTGAACTTCTAGAATTACTTCCAAGTATTACAGTTGTGACTCTAAAATTACATGCCCGTTGGGATATTATCCTATATCCTACACATTAAAGAATCCACTAAGAAAATACAAATAATAATGGCTACTTATAGCTATGGCAAAATTTGGTCATTTGACTATGATGGGGTTAAGTTAATTAATGACTGAAGGTCAAGTGTTAGTCTGTTATGCTAAGAGGTCTTATTCCAAGGGTTGTTGTGACCGAGTTTGAAAACAATACACTTAGAACTTATGAATAAAATATGATAAATTTCAAACATTTAGGGATGGCAAGGGAAACGCCGACACGACTGTAAGACTCTATGAACTCTCGACCCCTCGACAACTCAACCTCTGAGACATCTCGACCCATGACACATAGACCCCTTAGTCTCTTAGACCACTTCATTGACTGGACATTTCGACTCCTTATTCTATAATGTACATAAACACGTTATTTAAGAAAAATGCCGTTATTTGTTATCCATAATCATACTTCAAGGTAAGTGTTTTATACAAAAAGAACAGAAGATGTTTAGTCATGATTACATTCAAGTAATGAACGAAATAAATCCGTATATGAAAAACGAGATGAAATGGTTTAGATTAAGAATTTTGAGAATTAACTTTAAGTTGGTTTCCGGCCGAAGGTCAGTCTGTTTTTGATTTTATTTTCTGTACAATTTACAGGGAAGAATTGAATATATGTAAAAATGTAATTGGTCATTTTGAAATTACAATCTGAAATATCGGAATCTGATTTGCCATGATTGTAAAATTAGTAAAATAACATAACGGATTTTTCTGACATGGTATACGCTTCTCATTTTAATTGATCTAAAGAAATGTGGAAACGAACTGTTTACATTAATAAGTTCGTTTACTATCAAGTTAAATTCCAAACACTTAAACTCTGTTGAACCATGCCTTCTCCTTTACATAATATGTTCTGTATTGCCATGCATCATCCTACAGATTAAACGAGTTAACGAGTTATCAATGTTGTCAAACATTAATGAAACAACCACTTAAAATGTTTACTCTCGCGCATGAACATAGCGAAACAGCACATAAGAAAACGAACTTATCCGGTTTCAATGTAATTTTTATATCATGATATTTTTATATCATTTGTATCATGATATTTTATTACAAAAACGCCCAAACTACAATGTGTGGGATAGTAGCTTTGAAATATTTTGCATGTGCCAACATATGTATATGATTTTGATAACGTAAAATAAAATATTTGGCTCAATATCATTATCCCTTATCCCTACGATTCTATGTCCATGTTTCCTAAGATCTGCAAATTAACCTGTTTCAGTTCGACCGAGTATCTTTTTAAAGATACTTCTTGTTATATTTAAATAACAAATGAGAAAAAGAAGAGACTATATGTTTTCCAGCCAATATGTTTTCAATTCTACATATATAAAAAACATTTTTGTTGCAAAATAGTATTCTCGTTTCTTTTTCAACATAATTATTTATGTTAATATCATAAGTATGAGATAATCGCAACTTCGAACTAGAGACAGGTCAATTCAATTTGTAACATTTATTCAGTAAAAATATATAAATATTCATCTCCTATCTTACATACATGTGTTCAACAAGTAACAAATATTAACAAAAATACAGCAATTGTAAATATGAATATAGACGTGATGCACCGATCGCGTATGATGCACCGATTGCGTATGTTCTTACTATGCATTCATTCTGGTCTTGTCTTGGGTCAAAACACAACAAAATATATATATACATTGTAATTGCTATGTAACTAAACATTAAAACAATTAAAAATAATAATTACCTTTTATTTATTTTTTTTTTGATTCTGTTATGAAAATAATTAAAACATTTGATATTTGCCTTTAATTATTTCTCCAACTATTTTACTCGCCTGTTTTGTACATAAATTAATAAGGGGGTCAAAATGTCCTATTAACAAGGATTCGTAAAGAAATGTAAAAAAGTGGTCAAAGGTCCTTGGTTCTCGAAGTTAATTTCATATCCTTAGGGATCGAGAAGTCAATTGGTCTAAATATCTTACTTGCAACTGTAACAATAACCATTAATTTGCTTCGGAAAAAAGTCGAACTTCATACAAATATTCATAATATCTTACCAATACAAGTACTTGTTTCCCATGATCCCGTGTCTAAACATTGGATCGTCAGCGTTGTAGTGTTATATCCGTCTTCACAAATCACATTTGCACGGGCTCCATAAGACGAGTCGTTCTCAACGATTAATGAGGCATTGCCATTATCAATATCAATAACTGAAGCACAATCTAAATAAAACAAGTATGTATATACTTGTACATATTCTTTATTTATCAAATGTGCAAATACGACACGAGATAAACACCAAAGTGTGACCCTGAATGACATTACTGGCATTATGCCAATTACTTTATATTTAAATATTTCGTTCAAGTTTTTGTTTGTTTTGTTTTGGGTTTTACGTCACATCGACACAGTATAGGTTATATCGCGACGTTCCAGCTTTACTGGTGGAGGAAGACCTCAGGTGCCCTTCCGTGCATTATTTCAGGCACGAACGAGCACTTGAGTAGAACCACCGACGTTCCGTAAGCTAGCTGGATAGCTTCCTCACATGAAAGAATCCAAAGTCCCTGTCGGGATTCGAACCAACAGCGGTGATGGGCAAGTGGTTTGAAGTAAACGGCCTTAACCACTCGGCCACGGACGCCCCTTTCGTTAAAGTGACATTTTGCCTAACCAAGTGTATAAATGAGTGAACAGGTGAATAAGTTTTCATTTTGCCATAATTCCTTTTAATAAAAAACAATTATTTCATATAAACAATAAACAACGCGTGGATCCAAACGATTTTTTTTCTTAAATATCCATTAGCATTTTACCTGTAACGTTCAGTTCATAAAAAGAGTGGGCAGTCTTTTTATATTTTAGGCAGATTTTAAAATTTATCAAAAACTTTTTCCAACATGAACTGTTGGTAAATCACCATTTTAACAGTCAATATTTTGAAATATATAGTTAGTTCAGCTCAACTTGAATATGAAAATATGAGCATAATGTCACTTTATATCTCGACAAGGAATTTTATAATCAAATAGAGATATAGGTATATTTTAATCCGGCCAATTGATTTACGAAAATATGATCTCACAAGGCGCGGAGGATAAATAGTAAAATGCATTGACATCAAAAATAAGTAATTTTATAAAGTTATTTTAATGACATTTTAGTAAATAAGAAGTACAATTAAGTTGTCGGGCCATTAATAATATCACATATTAAACCAAATACAATAATTGCATGTTTAATCTTAGATAAGCCATTCAACCTTTTTGGCTCCATACGACAGTCTTGTCATTGTATCGTATTGTTGGCTAAATCAAATGAAATGGTGATTTTTATAGCAAACATGTTATTTTTCATTGATCAGAAATGACGAAGATCTACACTACTGACTACGAACCCACATACAAGTTATCTTCCTTATTGATATATGCTTCTCCTAAAATTGGTCAGATATTTATAGGTAACAAAATAGCAGAACCGAACCTACCAACACACAGAGTCTCCGGTACAGCAGAGCAGCTCAGACTGAATTGAGTATTTACTGTTGTAGCTAGAATAAAAAAAGATTAAAAAATCACACAAATATCCTTAATAAAGTAAGAGTTTATCATTTATATCTGTAGATGCAGAAACGGAGGAAATGAAAAATATACTTTGATAAAATAAAGATTAATAGTAATAATAAATGAAATTAAAATTGTTTATAATTACCAGCAAATCCAAGAAAAAATAATCCTTCCTGGTTAGCAGTGGAATTGTCCAAAAAGTTAATGGTGATATAATGCTTGTTTAGAGCGTGAGTGGTTATGTCAGATCCATAGTAACTTTCACATTCGATACCATGTAATGTCACGTTTAAACTGTCCCGTATTTCTAGTCTTTGTTCACAGTTTGATGTATCATAATACAAATCAGCGTCAATGATATATAAGTTAACACTAGATGGACACTCATAAATTTCTAGAGAGCAAGAACATGTAGATTCGCCTGTTGTCACACCCGGATAACCTTTATTTGTTAAATAAAGTGGTGCACTCGATGACTGTAACGTGCCACTTGAACATACGGATAATTTCCTTTCAGCTGTAATCATAAAACTTTAAATTTTATGAATAACAAAGAGGGGGTTTTGTGCCACAAAACATGTGTTTCCCACAACTAGGTATGGTACTGATGACTCCTGCGAAGTTTCGTCGGTATTGAACTAGCGGTTTTTGCCTTTAAAGCCAGAAAATTTGGAGGTTTTTTATTTATTTATTTATTTTTTTACTATTTTTTTAATAAAGCTGTGGTGGCCATTTTGTGCTGGCGATATACACGATTAGGGAAGGGTACTTATAACTCCTGTGAAAGATTACATTGGAATCCCGCCAGCAGTTTGACATGGTGCCAAGCCGGACGGACAAGCTTAAATTACGGACGGACAGATAGACGGACAGACGACGAGGCAAAACAATATAGATATATCATAATTTAACTTTTTAGGAAACATAATAAAGTCAAATCATATAGCAAACTCAATAGGTAAAAACAATGTTTGATATATAATAAATAAGTATTTATTTTGTTTAATCTATGAATTAATTTGATTGACTACTTTGCTTTTTTTAAAAAAAAAAAAGTTTTAAAACATAAGAAGTTGATAAGTTTAAAAAATTTTAAAAAAGATGTTAAAGGGAAACAATAAAATAAATTGTAACATGGGAAAGGTTTGTGCTTTCCCTAGGGAAAAAAAGGGCCCGGGACCCCCCCGAGGGAATACTACGGGACGTTTTTCCAGAACATGACGCAAACAATACTTTACCGGCGTGTCGCACTTAAAAAATGGTCCGTTTTGAACCCGCAACATGTGGGATCACAATCGCGCATATCCAAACAGGATAGAATCAACAGCTATCACTGAGCTTCCACAGTCTATGTTAACATTATCGGTATCACAGTGTGTTTCATTTCTCCTTTCTTCTACTGATGACAGTTGTGCTGGAACAAGTCATAACAAGTCATGACAGTAATGCTAAACTCATCACATAATTATCATGATAATTAATGTTATTATTACATGTATTATAAAAAATATTAAAATAATGATAATAATAATATAAAATTATTATTTATTATTATTATTATTATTTATTTATTTTTAAATTTATTTTTACATTTAAATAGTCCTTTTTCATGCTTATTTTTTAATATACTTTATACTTATTTATCAATATTTTTATTTAAATAGATACAATTTCCCTTTACAGGGGGGTTTAGGTAGACCCTGGGTAAGGGAACCCTAAGGGAAATGAAAAGAACAAGGAAGGGTTTTATGTCTTCAATTAAACCCTTTTTCAAAATTTAAATAGAATTTACGTGTGGTTTTTGAGCAATGGTAATGAACTAAGATTTGCCATTGGGGCTTTTTTCAGAAAAGAGGAAAATCTAAAAAAAAACTGTAAATATCAAAAAAAAATGTTTTCTTTTTGCCCGTGGTTTAAAAAAACAAATAATTACATTCAGGTAACAAATAACACAAACAAACTGTTCTTAAAATGTTCAAAAATGTTGCTCTACCCCACTTAATCAAAACACTAATTATACCATTTCCCTATCTAAAATGCCTAACTCAAAATATTCCTAAAATTTACTATAATGAGTGGCTGCTTTCAACGTTTTGCCTAAATTTTTTAGAAGGTATATCGGTTGGTCATGCAAAATATAAAATACTTTTACCGTGTAGTTTTTATCTTATTAAACTTTGAAAATATCTGGTATCATATTTGCTATAAATTTGGGCATTATTAAGCAAATAAATACCTACAATAATTACATTATTTGAATCAAACCCTTTTTTGATAAGGGATTAGAGAGATACATAAATAATGTTAAAAAGAAAAAAAGGTTACACCTTCTGGGGTTTGAACACATGTCCCTCAATTTCAGTGAAGATTGCAAGCGATTTTAGCCTATTTAAATACCCTTCAAATTATTTGATGGTAATGCATTACCCATAGTCTACCTTAAATATATGTAAGTCTAACCTGTTCCTTGGCAAATGATATAGTTTACAAATTGTTATTGATAGTGATATACTTGTTCCATAATTCAAACATCACTCTGTGATTGACTGCTCTTAACATATTCTTTGGCATGAAGTTATTTACAACAAAATTGAAATAGATACGTGTATGTATCAATGCATTCCAAAATATCATTATTTTAAACATCAAAGAATGTTTCAATCTACTAAAGTGTTATAAGCTACAATTGTAAATATGTCTAATACATTTTGTAAATAAGCTAACTATTGAAAAGGGGGCGAAAGAATATTTTAAACATTTGATCAATAAAGAAAAATCGGCACATGTATTAGCGTTCATTCGACATATATACAATAAAATTGAAATTTAAACAATATGATATATTACTTCATGTATATAAATAAACGTATAATAATATATGTAACGATGAACTGAATATGCTCTCAAATTATATGCGTTCAGTTCTATTCTAACAAATTAACCGGGAATGTTATAAATATATGTAAAACACATCGTGTTTACATGATTTTCTTCACTTAGTTATTAGTGTAAATCGATATGATGATATGTGAATATAACTGTTGGTACAGGACTGGGAAAGACACTTTTTAAATACATTATATATTTTATTGCGATCCCTTTTTTCCTTGACCCGGTTTAATTTTTCATTTTGGGGATAAAATAAACAACATTTAAATTTGTTAACCGATTATATATTTATTATGAATTTAAAAAAACATTTTTACTGTATGATATAAAATTTGACAATAAAAAACCAAACCCCGATATGCAAATGTATCTGTATTAAAAACCAGGGAAAGATTTTTTATTTCAACTTTTTCATTTTTAAGATGAAAAATAAATCTATTTTTACCCGGAAGGAAAAAATGTCAAATTTTGCGTTTTAACCCACCGCCTTTTCTATGCACCCCATAACCCGTTAAGGGATTAATAGTAAAGATTTTCTTTTGATTATTCAAAATTTAAAACATTTATTTTAATAAAAGTCGATAAACAGATTTTGGCACAACTCCATAATTTGATCTTTAAAAATTGATATAACAATAACGAAAAAGGAAAACAAAACATATCAATTTGAAAAGATATTGATTGTATTTAAAATCGGGTTAAAAAGGGTTTACAAAAGTATTGATCGCAAATGAAAGGTGGAAATAAGAAAGGGAAACAATTAGGTTACTTTATAATCAATAAAATGCTTTCACTTTTTCTTCACCTTCTAGTAAAGGAGTTGTTAGTTTTGATTCAAAACAAATTTACATTTTCATACTAAAAACAGTTAAGTGATATGTTATGATTATTTAAAAATAATGATTTTCATATGTTGTTACTGAGGTCAAAGTGTATTTGTTCTCACGAGGTGGGCTTGTCCTATATGCGTAAATACTTGCGTGCGAGTGCAAGGTTGTTTTTGTTTTGTCCTATGAGCCTATCGTTATGGACACACACTTTTTACACTGTGAACCCATGAACAAATAGTGTCCACAAAAGATCACAGCAGCCAGAAAAAAAAGAGAGTCAAAAAATGAGGGTAACTTTCCCTTTAAAACCATGCTACTTACGTTGTTATATTAACATATAAAGTCAGATGATAAAGTTAAACAAATTTAAAAGAAATTTAATATTTAACTCACTTACGATCCGTGCGTTGATTTGACACCAAAATGAAGCATTTGCTTTTGTTTTTTCTTGTTTTTTTTTGTAGAAGCAGTCTCAACAGTAATTATCAATAATGCTGATAAAATTACTCCGTTAATTGTTTGATAAACCCAATCTCTCTCTTTATTAAATGTAACAAATCTTTAGCATATATATGGCAGCGCGGTAGTATTTCATGCGGATTTTTATTTCGTTTTATTTCTTTTTTGTTTTGTCTTTTTTATCATTTTTTTTATTTCATTTTATACGTTTAAAATGGTTTTCATTGATGAATAATATACCTGAGTGTGTTCAATATTGTTTTTTTTATAAATTTATAACTATTGTAAGTTTATATATTTTCGTTAATTTACTCAAGTAGTTTTTATATACGTCCATCAAAGTTACATGTATAGTGACTAAATTATAATTCCTTGTTATATCAAGTTTCCTTTAAATGTCACGGTTTTGTTTTCAAAAGTGATCATTACAGAGAAAAAAAATTCCAAAAACAAATTTAAAGTGTATGACTGTTATAATCTATAACTCATGATTATCCTTATATCATTATCATTATAATTAGTTTATACATTTAACGTGCTAGAAATGTGAGTAATCAATTAAGGGAAGGTCTCTAGAAGAAACATTATCGGTCCAATACCAAAAAGAGCCGAAAGACCACGTTAAGTTTATTCGCAATTTTAGGTAATTCATTATTCAGATCACATAATGATTTCTACTTACTAATAGTCAAAAAATCATTCAAGTTATAATGTGTCATATATAGATATCTGCCGTATGTTCAGATTGCTTTTATCATAGTATATTTAATATACATACATATATGTGTTGTAATAATAACTGAAACTTGCACATCATTATCGGTATCAATCAATAGGACTATTATGGCACTTAACCAAATTGACACCCAATGAACTAAATAAATTATAATATTAACAAAAAGTATCTTTAAAAAGATACACGGCCAAAGTAAAACTTGTTATCTTGCATAGGATAAGCTACTACTTACCATGCTAACCGCAAACAGAACATTTAATACGTCCGCAATAGTTTTATTTCAGTTCATTTTACCCGCAATGTTTTCCCAATTAATTGTCATCTTAGATTTAAACATATGAATATTACTTACATTATTTGATTTTAATCAAAATGGAATTTGATTTGAATAGGAAATTTTAATAAAACAAATATTCATAGTAGATACTGTACACTAATTCCACGGAGAATTTTGCAACTGTAAATTAGTCGAAAGTTCGTTTTAATCGTCTTATGCCCGGTTTGAGAAGAGAATTTAATGACTAGAACAGCTTAGAAGAGAAACCCAACGAACGCCAAAGTATCAAAAATGCGATCTGTCATATTTAATTTCATATATTTATT